CGAAAACAGGAAAGTTCTTGAAGAATTGAATCGGACGCGACAATTGATGATGAAGAATTCGGGGTAAATTTTATAAAAAGTGCCACTTTCATACATCTATCGTGAAGAGGAGGATTGGTTCTCAAAGAATATTTTGGTTTAGACACTTAATATCTGCTTGTTTCGAGAAATTTTTATTTGTATATTGACGACGCAAATTAGGGGTTTGAATTTTATGGTAGTATTCAGTGCATTAAATTAATTATGGTAACTTTACTTTGAAAAGGTCGAGACATATTCCCGATGAGTGACTTACTTCCAGACCTTCGAGCCGCGCAGTTGAAGTTTCAGCAATACGTAACCCACGTAAAGTTCAACTTGTGAACAATCTGGAGCCTCATACAACCATTACTTTTATAACGACCAACTCGCAGTACTCAAATTCAATAATACCCGTGTTTCCCAGATTTCCTTCATAAAATGAACGGTCCTTGTTTTTTAATTTCCGTTTGCCTACTAATCAACGTCCCTTGCGTTAATAAGGCACCTCTTTTTCCGTACCCAACTTGAACAAACAAACTTGAAGTTTTACAATGTGATTCAAATGAACATGGTTCTTCTAACATCGTATTGTTGGATGTCTTTCACTTCTGTGTTGTGTTGGGATACTGAGTTAACATGGAACGATTAAACCCGCTGTCTTCGTACTTCTCTGTACAGTTCAGATTTTAGTGACTCTTTACTTAATTTCCTTGCTGTATTCACCAGGCGTGATTTAACTCGAAAAATATATGCCTACTTGCGTCGTGTATTATTTTTTTCTCTTTTGTTGGGACTTTTTCTCAAAACCGTCCCACCGTTATGCATTTTCTTCGCGTCTTAGTTTTTTTGGTTTTTACAGTCTTTTTTGTAGATGACCTCTGTACATAATGCTGCTTCTCTTTGTGAATTTGTCTAGCAGTTTATTAAAAGGATTTATTCTTTTGCTTAGATTACTTTTTCAGATCCAGTTATTAGACAAAGGACTGTCAGCATTAAAATCAGTCATCTAGAAGGTAAAAATCATATTGGGACAGAAAACGTCTATATATATATATATTTTTGGTGTTTGTTAGTGGACAGCAGGGGTTCAGTACATCTTTTACCAGCTTAACACTTTTGGTCCACGTAAAACAATTTCCGTATCAGATAATATCTTAGATTGATCGAACAGGTGAAAAAAAGATGAACACTTAACAGATTTCTGAGCGAAAGTAAAGTTCGCCAGCGGTTAAGAGTTTTGAAGAACAAGGAATCTGCCATGACTAAATCTTGCAAATTTAGTACGTTTTCCCTACTGCAGCTTTGTTATCTGACCGGTACTCAACAATGAGCGACTACAGAGCAACAGATACTATGTGTTGGCAAAATTTTTCTTCCTTAAAGTGACTTGAAAACATATATACATGAGCGTCTGGAATGTTGGTGGTTTTGTTTGTTTATTTCTCCTCATGTTTCGCGAGCAAAATTCTTATGCTTTCGAAATGGTTTGCTCCTGAGCGAAGACACTCGGTGAGGTTGAAGAAGAAGAACACATAGCAGATATTATATACTATAATTGATATACACTTGAGTTTATCCAGATCAGGATGGGTTGTGTCGTTTAAGATGGAGGCCTAAGTGATCAGACCGAGAGAACGCACGATCGCAAAAGCTACATCGGAACGGTCGATCACCGGTATGTTTCCGGTAATGCCTAAAAAACGCATCAATCAAGGCAAAGAAAGCAACATGACTGTCATCAAATTTAAGCCGATTACCAACGACGTTAGAACAGTTCACATCAACTTTGTAAGCTAATAGGTGAAAGTAGGACGGGGTAAGCAAAAAAAAACTCTTACACTTTAGTGGATTTTTTTCTGATGAAAGCGTTTATTTTTACAAGAAAACCGATATTAATCGATCATCCATTTGTTAAAAACTTTTTTACGATGCTTGCTTAAGTTACCGTAATCCAGTAATTTTATGTACCTGTTTGTATTTCTCTATAATTTTTTCCTTATTATTCTTTTCAAATAAGTTTAAAAGCTACGAGCACGTCAAAAAGAAAAAAAGCTCAAAATAAATTCATTGCTCGTCGGACACTCAAAATCACTATTCCGTGACAATTATAAATTTTAAAAAGTAAAAATGAATTTGAGAGCAACAAAGAAGACCGGGCTCAAATTAAATGAAACCCAAGAAAAATCTAAAAAAATACCTGGTAAGTTCATCACTTCGTGCAAATTTCCATCCACAGTCCGGCCAGTCACAACAATACGGCTTTTCACCACTATGGGTTCGCAAGTGAGCTTTCAGATGCGAACTTTTACTATACCGTTTTTTACATTCCGGATAAGGACAATTATGAACAGTGAATCTTTTCAAATTTTGTCGTGTTTCCAAAGGACGACGTCTCCCGCGACTTGCTAAGCAATCGATATCATTTTTGCTACATCTATAAAAACAATGAAAATAAATTACTCTTTGCAAATGCGATGTTTTCACCATCTTCTTCAGCACCAACGTAATGTCAGTAATAGTAACAACAAAAATAAAAAAAAGAGGATTGAAGAAAAAATTTACCATTATTGATGAACTTTTTGAATACGCTTACTCCAAAATAAAGTAATTTTTTAAATGAAACCCGTCCTTCGTAAAAAAAAGAGAAAAATTTCACATAACTTTCAGAAATGAAATGAAACAACAAGAAACCAAATATGTCTTTCAAGCATTTTTTCAATTGTTCTTTCTGCTTACACAAAAAAGTAAAACAACTTTTCCATTACTTATACAACATTTCAAACTATTCGCATACAAACACACTGATCAAAACCGCAATTATTCTATTATTAATACCTCAACAGCCTTAAACATAATAAATTTACATCAGGTACAGGATAGTTTAGTATTCGAAAAATTGTAAAGAAAAGCAGGACAAAAACATACACTGGATAAGATGGTGGCCCAGAAGGCACTCCATCATTATGCATGACCATCAAACCAGTCGGAGACGAATAATTGTTCCTTGGCACTGGCACCGGTGTAGTTTTTGGTGCTACACAATTATATTTTGCAATTTCTGGATATTTCTCAGCAGAAGATGTTGCTTGAAACGGCTGCAGCTGTGAGGTTGCAATAAAATAACTAGGCGGTTCATCCCACGATTCCTCTTTGATTTCACGTTTTACTGGTGCCGGCGGATCACTCAGATTAATTGGCGGATCTCGAAGATCACGCATTATTAGATCAACTGCATGTACCTGAATGTTTGTTCATGACTGTTTTCAAGTGACCCATTTTAACTGGAGGAAACTCTCTATTCTTCCTCTTCCCCTCCGTTTCACATTCATTCTCCATTCTCTTTGCCTTATGTTACGCTACAAAAAAAAAAAACTCATTTTGGATCTGACTCCTCATCTATGCTATCCTACAGAGGGCACTGTAGAATACAGTTCTACCCCAGTTGTCAAAAATATCTGGGTAATGCGGGAAAACTAAGCAGTTTTAATGTTTTATCTTGATATAAACTTGAAGAACGAGACGACCGAGGAAGCTAAGTAACTTGAGACATTTTAAAAAGATATTCAGGGAGTTACAAATATGGTTAAAAACCAATTATCTCAACAAGCTCACTTTTTAGTTGCTAATTTGAAGTTACAATTTATTAGTCAGAATCTTCTCTTTGTTTTAGCTAGTGATAATTTTTATCTTTTATTTGTGTCAAAGAAAACTGTTTTATGTTTTTTGAAATAACACTATAAACTGTGAAGATAACAATGAGAAAGAAGACAAAAGAAATAAAAAACAGATACTTGAAGCTGAAAAAGTAGCAGCATTTAATACTGTTTTATAACTTACTGTTAATACTTTCACAAAATCTTTTTTAAACTTATTTTTACATTCGTTTTAAAAAGAATATTAAATACTTCTTAATCTGGTAATTTAAATAAGGAGGTAATTTTTTTGTATAAGAATATAAATGAACTGTGGCATAAAAAACATACAATTAGCATATAATTTATACTCCCCCACTATTCGCAGCATTCAACTCTGCATTAAAAATTTCATCCCAACTACTACATCAATAGCATCAATCATCGTACACTAAAAGATTTCAGCCAATAAATGTCCCATACTATCGTTTTCTCAAAAAAATACTACTCAGTATCCAAACAGTTCATTAAACCGCTGTCCCCTAAAATAAAGTCGCTCAAAAGCAGTCCAGTAAAAAGTCCTCTGATCTACATGCAGTGGCAAAAAAATACTGTTTTAATCTAGTAAAAACCCATGCACACTACAAACTATAAAATTTCACGAGGTAAGGGTCAGCAATATTACCACCCATTTTTTTTTGCTTAATTTAATTCAAATACAGCCTCTGTCCAGAAAACATAGAAATTGTACAAGTTAATGTTTTGATAGCACACCTACATGCAGATCAGACATACTGAAAAATCGCTTCGAAAAAATGTTGTAATTCTTTTGCAGAGCTAGTGAAGCCATCAATTAAACCTTAAGTAGAGACTTCAGTCAAAATTAATGCTGTCCACCAAAAAAATTATATAACAAAAAAGTTATGACTTTTATTTTAATATTACAGAGGAACCTTTTCACTCATAGACAACTTTTGACCGCTTCTTTTACTTTCTCTTTTTAGCTTCTGGTCTACCAAAAAATTCTCAATGCGTTTCCCCTTCCCACTTTTTCTGCTTTTTATTTATGTAGTAATAATTCAGAATAAATTGAAACTAGGGGTAACAGTAACGTTAATAATCTTTTAAACAGTGCATGCTAATTTTACAAACATACCGCATTTCGTCTAAGTTCTGATAAAAAAACGGAAAGTAACCAAATACTCTTTACGATCGGTTATCGTTGTTAAAAATCGGTTTTATGCACAATGTTTTTGTTCAAATGTTAAAAAGACAAAAAAGAGTGAAAAGACAGAAGAGAAAGGAAAAACGACTAGTTTCATAGCTTAAAATATTCCAGATAATCGCCAATTGAAATTTTCAAAAACTATATAAAAACAAAAGAAAAAAAAATATTTTGATTATTGAATTCAAAAAAAATTCTCCCTCCAGGCCACTGCCCAATTCATACAAGTTTTTTAAAACAGTATTTTTACAAAAATCAAGAAGAATTAAGCATCTTGGTGCATAAACTTAAAAAGCTTAATTCACACTGTTGATGAAAACGATCACGGTGCAATAATAAAACTGCAAAAGACTAATAAAAAATAATATGCCATTTCTTTCAACTACAGTAGACTGCCCAAGTGTGAAGAAAATAATCTATTTGGTTGAAACTGTTACCTTCTTCTCTCTCGCACTCACTACTATAAATCAAGCTGTTCCGTTCGATCAAATAATTTCAATCCAGAAAAATTCAAAAAAAAACAATCTTTTCAAAAAAACCTAAACTAAATAATACAAAAAGAACCAGAAAGTATTGCAGCAAAATAGCTTAATAAAGGTCCAATACTTGGAGAATATCCGTCAAAACTGTTAAGCGATAAGAGCCCATGGCTAAAAACCTTTACTAATACTACTTCAAAGATACCACTGATACAGTTATCTTCCTGGTCCCGATAGTGTGCCACCAAAATTTATTTGTCTATAGAAATCTCAAATAAAAATCTGAAATATCACCTACGTCTAACGCTACAAAAATTACTTAGCTTGACGTCATTAAACAACTATACAGTTTGGCTAATTTTTTTTAGAAAAATAACCTGTTTCTTCTATATGTAACACCGTTAACAAATACTAAAGGCAATACTGGTTTATTGAAAGTTTCCTTCTCTGTATTGAATTCCTCGAATATCATATTCAATTAGATGTTGTTGCTTTTTGTCCAGGAGTAAACCGTTATGAAACTTGGAAGATCAATAAAATCCTACTAGACTTTTTAAAACCTATAAATCTTGTTGAAACCTAAATTTTTTGCATATGAATTCAGTCAGCTATCTCTTGAATTTAATATTTATTGTACTTTTACTGTTTACAGACTACAAATGACTTCAGAGAAAAAAAAAGTAGTAAAAAAGGCAAACTGCTGTCTCAAATAATTTTTAAGTATACTCTGTACACCAGTTAAATTTTTCTCCTCTTCTTCATAAATGAATTTGTCATTTCTACTCTCCCTGTAGTAAAGCAATTAATCTTTATTAATTTAGGTTAAAAGTCAGGAAAACTGCATTTAAAAATGTTAAATACGTGTGGTCATAAGAAAAAAATACAACTCTAAAAAAAAAGAAATAGAACCTTGAGGCTCCGTTGTTTGAATAAGTCTTTTTTTACATTTCAGCACAAATAAAGAAAATTTTAGCTTAGAAAAAAATTAAAACCAGCATCAATACTTTCACTTCTTCTAACAACAGGAGAAACAGAAGTGACTTCTTCATAAAAATTATCGTGGTAAATTTAATGGTTATTCATTTCTTTCTATAATTCATTATTAAATTAAATTCTGAAGCTCTAAGATACGCTAAGTTCCCAATCTCGCCCGCTGAACAAAAAACCACCAAATTCTCAAACTTTTTCTTGGAGCATTTGAAAAATCATTTGTGTTAAATTTTCTACCTCAGGATGTTCAGAAATCTCTTGTCTTACGCATTAACTGGAAATGCAGTTGAAAAGCAGTCAACAACGCTGGAGACTGCTACGGCAAAAATATTCCCCAAAACTGAATAAATTTTTACCGATAAAAATATCTACAGCACCGCACTACCTGCGAGAAATAAAATCCAAAAAAATTCATAAATGACTAAGAAATTCAAGCTTAAAGATTTTAAAAGATAGGAATAAGCCAAACAAAAACTTTTTCAGGAATATAGTTTGAAATCTATTTAAACAATAACATTAAGGGACCAAGTTCTATCTTCTCCTTCCCTGACACCAGTACCAAAACAAATATACACGATACACACAAACACAAACATTTCTTCTTTTTCTTCTCTTTTCTGGTTGTTCTTTCTTTCAGAAATATAATAAAAAAATTCTTCTTTGTCTACACCCAAAATAGCTGAAAAACCAATCTTTTCAAAAATTTTTCAACTAATTCATATCAACAACAATACCATCGTTGGGTATCCATCTTTACAATAAAGACACTGTTTTTCTTAGCAGTTTTCTGTTTCAGAAGAAAAAAAAGAATTTGAATAACACCAGTGTTGTGCAGTGTTTACTTGTGAAGAGTTGTTATATTGAAATCCAGCAAAGAATCTTCAAATGAAAACTGCAGATATATATAAATCTGTTAAATGCTATGTGTACTGTACTGCTCCATCAAAATTATTTTATTTCGTACTGTGTCACCACTTAGCAATCCAAATTCTCCATCTAAGATTTTACAGCTGCTATAAATTTTGTCCTAAATAATTTACTGTACGATCGAGAAAGAAAAACTAAACTGCAAAATTAAGTGATTATTTATACTCATTGAAACCATTAGCTTAAAATAAAAAAAATTTTGAATAATTTCTCACAGAAATCCACCTAATACTACACACACAATAAGAATTTGCTTTTACAAAAAGCAATTTAGCTTCAGTGTACATTCACAAAGTAACTTCCATATATATCCAGCATCTCATTTAACTAAATCAGATCAGAAAATTAAACAATTTTTCCACCTGAAAAATCCTAAAAATAGTCAACTAGCACTGCTTATATTAGTTTTTCAATGGTAAAACTCGATAAAACTGTTAAAACTAAAAAATTGAAGACTTATTGAATTCACTTGCCATTAAAATAACACACCTAATCTCCTGTACATCTGGATATTAAAACTTTCTAAGTCATCCTAAAAAGACAGATTGGTTCACCAGGTTGCCAATCCTCCATACATGTTCAGAGAACGCAAATAACTGCAACTCAATAAAGTGTATAATATGCTGAAAATAAAAGTAAAAATAAAACTGTTAACCAACCCAAATTTTTTCATTCTTACTTCTTCAATGATCAATAAATTGTCGGAAAGAGAAAATAACTGAAAGTGACTTTAGTAAACATAAATTATTGCTGTAATTTCTGAACTTTTTATTCAACGCGTTACTTCTCTTCTTTTTTGCCATTTGGTAGGAACTTCTTCACGTTAACTGTCAAATAACGAAGAACTAGCAAAAATCAAAATGGTAAAAAAACAAAACCTTCTCAAAAATAGAGTAAGACAGTAAAAAAGGAGTAAAATGTACTCATTTTTCCAAGGGATCCTCATCACTATTAAAAAGCAGCTTCAGTACAGGCACAATCAGCATTGCTATAAGCAGCATCACTTTTCTTCCCATCAAACCCAAATTAACTTTTATAAAACCAATTAATTTAGAATATTTTTCATGTAACAATTTTGAATTAAGTCCATCTACTGCATCTATTCATATCTGTCTCAATCCTCTGACAACGACAAAAACAACCAATCAATAATCATAAAAAATTTTTAAAAAACAGCAACAGCAATAATAAAAACAACAAAAAGAAAGTACCAAGTAATCAACTATATACTCAATATGTTCAATCAACAGATCATCTAAGGATTCAACAGCACATTTTTTTCTTTTTCTTGCCTCTTGCACTATCTTTTTTTTTTTTTGCCGAAATCTATCTCGATTTTTAAGAGAAAAAAGCAAAAATAAAAAATTAAAGAAGAATTTACGGTCCAGCAATTTTGCACTGATTAATGTGCAGAAACTCGTATTTGCTCAACTAAAATTCCAAATTGTTTACAAAAAACTTTTTTCTGAAAAATAAAAAACTTTCTTTTTAAATGCCAATTTGAAGGAACAAGAGAGAGAAAAAATGTAAATGTTTCCGCAATGCAAAAATAAAAAACTCAAACGACGAGAAGAAAACCGTAATAAAGTATCAAACAGAACATTAAAGGAATATAATCTTAATTCAATAAAAAAAATTATGGAATAAAAGTTGATACAGAGAAAAAACTATTTTTCTATTTCCTTCCCTCCTTGAAACTATTTAAATCAAACACACTGCTTTTATTCTTTTTGAAATAATAAATATTCATTTTCTTTTTCAAAATAACCAGCACTAATAAATAAACAGACAATCAAACAAATAAACACATAGGCAGCCAAAAAAGACGGCAAACAAATGAAAATGTGCAAGGAATGACTAACTCATTTGTGACATCAGCTGATTCCATTATTAGTCCGTTACTACTAAATGTCTAACAATGATTCTCACATGTAATCTTTTTAAATCTAATATAAATTTATTTCAACATAAAAATAAAAGCAAACTGATGAGCATTTGTTTTAATTTGAATATCTCCAAAGTTCCTCTGTACAAAAGTCTGTGTTTGTGTCCGCTTAAAACCAAGTGTACTAGCTCAGTTTTTTTAAGGGTTGAGGAGGAAAAAAGATTTAAAAACTGAAAAATCTTCAGTACAGTTCGTTGAGCTATTACAGTGACCCCTCATTACAGAGCTGAAAGATGTGATGAAAACAATGATGGTACAATGTTAATTCATTCATAAATTGTTTTTCGTCCATCTACAAATTAAAATCTACATAATGAGACATACCTGTAAAGAGCAGGAATGCTGATTATTGATTCGAGCCGTTGTCAACGGTGACAACGCAGCATCCCATCCTTGGATAGCGTCGTCAATTTTAAACTTCTCGTCAGACAGAAATTCCGAGATGTCCTGCCACATCTATAAAAATATAGCAATGTCAAGCTCAAAATTCACCAATTCTTCATTGAAAATGTCGTAAAATTGGTCAACCACAGAAAGAGTAAATATGCAAAACAAAATAAAGCGACATAGAGATGAGTTAATGAAACATGTGCATAGGTCAGTAATATTCTGGGTAAAAAAATTTTGTCTAAACTAAAGCAGTTCCCTAACAACTGTACAAAGAAAATTAAGAGAAAGTCGTCACCAACAGACTGACTCATAGGCAATCCATGTTGAATCTGTTCAAATTTAGCTGTAATGGGCAGTGTAAC